CGCTCTTACTTTTATTTAGAATCATATTTTTGACGGGCGTCAGGATGGTACAGCATGTCTAGACTTTTTTTCGAAAAAGACTACGCATGACAAATAGAATGACTCCAGTCACTTTCATAGTCCGGACGGGCACTATGGACTATGCGAGATTTCAGACTAGTCCTGTACTAGGACATTTTGAGAAAAAGACTAGACTGGACGGCCGACTTGTCTAGAAAAAAGACTAGTCTTTTTACTAGTCTTTTGGTCACCTGGGATTGGACATCTGAATTAACACGACCTGACCGGTTGTCGACAGTGCTTAATAAAGTTCTAAAACAAGATGTTACTGATGCAAACAAATTTCGATATGATATTTCGCAAGCAAAAGAAGTTAGAAGACAAGATCTAAAACTTTATGACAGACAAAAATTTGACGAAGTAGTAAAACGTCTCACTACAAACTCTCAAAATACTTCACATATTTCTGATGCTGGCGCTCATTTAGGTATAGGTTTAGGAAGTACGTTGTATGATGTTCTGAATCACACCGAAATATATAAAGATCGATATAACGCCACGTCTAATGACAATGAAAATGGTACAAACATTATTCTAACGCGAAGAGATGCAGAAAAATTGATCCAGTTTTTGTCAGACTACATTGAAATCGAAGGTAATATAATAAAACCAAAACCAATTGATGTTAAACTTGTCAATTTTGGCTTGTTTAACACAAGCTCAAAACTATTTTCAAGCATCGTTTATGTAAAACGTCGAACAAAGGTACATGTTATGCCACTCCGCTGTCCATACAGATATATTAGTCGTCCCTTCACAGATTGGCTTGCAGGCGGATACCATCGTTTATCAAGTAGATTTGACGTATTCCCCAAGAATCTAACAATAGATTTGGAAGTCATGAAAGCGAACATGAGCGCTATTGAATCGCGCTTGAATCCAAAACTGGCTTCACTAGAATCAAGACTTAATGAAAAACTGGTTTCAGTTGAATCAAGACTTAATCAAAAGTTGGTTTCAATAGAATCGAAACTTAATGAAAAACTGGTTTCAATAGAACCAACCATGAATGACGACCTGGTTTTGGATGCAACAACCATGAATGACGACCTGGTTTTGTATGCAACAACCATGAATGAAGTGAAAATTCAACCTTATCGAAGTCGAACATGTAGGTATTTCACACGCTATTCGGCATTCTATCTAAATGATGCTGAAAACTGTTATTTTCTCCAAAAACCGTACCCGGCTGAAGAAAACTGGAGATGAAATGTAAAAAATACCTAATCTGCAACGATAAAGATGAACTCCATCATAATCGTTGTATCGCATAGCTTAGTATTTAGTAAAGTGGATTGACAGTAGTGATGAGAGCAACTAAACAGACCTGATCCAAACTAAGTCGAGTCCAATCATCTTTAAGTATTGAATCTGGCAAAAATCAACTACTCCTATCTGATTTCGAACCAGAATCTTTCGTAATTCTTAGGATTTCAGAACTTTCTGATGATATTTACTAATTATAGAACTTCTGGAACTTTCTAATTTTTCCCGTAAAAAATGCCTTGAAAACCTCTCTTTCAATCCTCATGATTTCACAGTTGGGTTTTACATAGCTTTTTCTAGGATTTCGTAATGATTCCTTGAAGAATCTTCCAGTTTTCTTTCGGCTACTTCCAGTACACAAAAAGATCCATATGGAATTTTCCCTACTTCCGAAATTAGATCATTTTAGTACTGTTACTAATAGACTTCATACCACCGGGTTAGCTAAATTTTACCGTTCTTTTCACATTTTTTATGTCGTCTTTTCTAATAGTACTACTTAAGAGAATAATGTCCTTTGCTCTTTTGTTTTCTTGTAGTTAATATTTCTGCTAATGCGAAATGGACACAGAATGGTGTGACTGTTGCTGGAGGTCACGGGAATGGCAGTGCCACTAATCAACTGAACTGGCCTGAAGGTCTCTATGTTGATGATGATCAAACAGTGATTGCCGCTGATTGGTTGAATGCTCGTATTATCCAATGGAAGAAAGGCGATACAACAAATGGACAAGTCGCTGCTGGTGGCAATGGTCAAGGAAATGGATTGCATCAATTGAATCGACCAGCTGGTATATTAATCGACAAAGAGACGAATAATCTCATTATTTGCGATTACGCAAATCGACGAGTTGTACGATGGTCTCGTCGTAGTGGCACAACACAAGGTGAAATACTCATCGACAACATCCAATGTTGGGGATTAGCTATGGATGAACAGAGATATCTCTACGTCTCTGACGCCGGTAAACATGAAGTAAGACGATATCAATTAGGTGAGCAGAATGGCACTCTTGTAGCTGGTGGAAATGGACAAGGTGATGGACTCAATCAACTCAAGTTTCCGACATATCTGTTTGTCGATCGACAACAGAAGATCTACGTGTCAGACAATAACAATCACCGTGTAATGAAATGGGCTAAAGGTGAGAAAGAAGGCATTGTCGTCGCTGGAGGTCAAGGACAAGGGAAAGCTCTAACACAATTGTCTTATCCTCTCGGAATCGTCGTTGATACGTTGGGTACACTCTATGTAGCAGACCAGGGGAATCATCGTGTAATGCGTTGGCCTCAAGGAGCGAAACAAGGCAGTGTGATTGTGGATGGAAATGTTGAAGGAGCAGGTGCAAAGCAGTTCGGCTACCTCCGTGGTCTGTCTTTCGATCGGCGTGGTAATCTCTATGCCGTCGACGAAAATAATCATCGTGTTCAACGATTTTCCATTACATAGACTTTTGACTTGTTTTTTCGTCTTTATTTTCTACTTTGAAATAAATGAAAATGAGAGGGATCCACAAAAAATAAAATAAAATTTATATCATTTTACTTTTAGATTCACCAAGCTATCTCTTTACTCCTTTTAGTACCTTTAGTGCATCTTCAACAAATGACAAGCTGTAAGAATTTCAATGGTTTTGCTATTTATCTTAACATAAAAGTACCACAATATAAAACCATTTTTTTCGTAGACGTACGGGTACAAAAAAAACTATCACTTAACGAAAAAGAATATCGAAACTTGAATTCATAAGAAATAGAGATTGTGCTCATCATTTTCACAGTCTAATACTTGCTATAAAAATAATTGCTCGTATATTCGCGCCCTCTGTCAAGCAAAGTATGGATTGATGCATTGAATTCCATACACTTCGATGAAAATTTAAAATTTGACTCGATCATTCTCCCTGCTAGATCTTATATTTCTAAATGATAAAACATTTAAAATAAAAGCATTCAATCTATCAAAATGGCATCAAATAATATAAAATTAACTTCACCTGATTCAAAACTTTTACTTTATAATCCAATTGAATTAAAAGATCCAAGCGATGCTTATCTTGAATCATGTTTTGCTGCTATCCAACAAAATCGTTATACCATGGATTCAAATATTCTTCTACAAATCGGACAATCAAACAAAAAACATAAAGAACACATATCCCATGCACTACTCTATGGCATATTAACTGATATGAATAATAAAGCAAAATATTTTCATGATCTATTACTTCTCAATGGCACAAATCTATCATCAATCATATCGACTCTTGAAGCATTAATAATAAAAAACTGGCGTCGCATTCATGATAGTGTACGTCAACAATTATTATGGCTACTACGTGAAACTTTAACAGCTAACATCGATGGTATCGATCGTCTCTATTATGTTTTTCTACGTCAAATAAATCCTCATGAACAATGTTTAGATTTATGTGAAACTATTCTTGAACTTCTTTTAGCACATCCATTATTTTTAAAAACATATCCTGAAATGATGTTATTAACAATTTACACGTTTCTTTCTATATTTCCTATTTATATACGTCGACGATCACAACAACAACGACAAATTGATTTTATATTAACATTAACACGTGAAAATATTCATTGTATTGGTCGTGATGCTATGCGACTACTAACTCAAATAGGACATATACGTGAAATTGATCTATTTTTAAAACATTTATCATTAAATACATCGAATGATTATTTACCGAAAATTCTTCTATTACAAACTGAACCAAAATATTTGGCCCTACCATTATCATTCGATTTAGAAAAACAATTACAATTTCTTCTTGATAATTGTCGTATAAATAGTCAAGAAAAATATTACTTTGAATGGTTTCAAAGTCAATATTTTAATTTTAAACAACATCCAGATTCGATCTATCTATGTTCACATATTATTCGTTACGTATGTGTTGTTTGTCGTAATCAACCGAATACAAATCGAGTAACACGCTGGACATTTATATCATGGTTATTAACGCAGTTATATAATTATCAACAATCATTACAGCAATCATTAATGTCAGCCAGTCAAACAGCATCAAATGCTGCTGCATTTATAACATCATCGTCGCCGCAACTCATGCAAATCAATGAACAAATAATTCAATGTCGTTTAGCTATTTATTATGATTGGTTTCTATTCGATAGTAATAATTTACAACAAATAACAAATGAATTCGATGCACAATTAAATTCTACTATTGTTGGCTATCATCTACTGGCAATATCCTATTATCATGCTAAACAAATGTTACTATTTCTTTTGCATACATCAGAAAATTTTATTGTATCATTAAAACCATACATACAACAAAATGTTGCACGATTATTTATGGAATTATTTCAACGTATGCCTATATTAAATTCACAACAATTACTACAGATGTTTACACACGACAGAGATACTTATCAACGTTTACTTACAACGTTTTTTTCATTACAATCATCAACTACAACAAGTAAGTGCAAAGGCTAACTACAGAATTTTCTATTTTGAATTATTCTTGATTTTAGGTGTTCCAATGAATGATGAAATAATATTAATCAATGATGATAATAATCCAAATGCTGTTATGCCAACAACAGTGGATGAAGAATCCAATGATATAATGATAATGCCAGTGAATACGACCGTTGTACCGCATTTTTCTGACGATGAAGAAGATGATGACGAATATGAAAATCGTGCAAGTTCTCTGAATATGTCCGATCATGACTATGACGACGATGATATTTTAATGATTAATGAAGAATCAAAAGCATCTGTTGATATATACAATACAAATATATTACGTACAGATTTTCCATTTGATCGTTTTCGTTCATTTATCAATGATCGTGTTCAACAAATGGCACTAGCTTATTCGGTATCAATGAATCGAAATAGATTTTCATTACTGACACAGATATATAAACAAATAGCTTTATCTCTAAGTGATAAACGTCCACTTATACTAAAAACTCAAGCAAGTGATCCAGCTGGACCAATTAGTTCATATGCAATGATAAAATTTGAAAAAGGAAGTGATAAATTTCAAGCACGTTTATTAACGATGCTCGATGAACAAACCATTGTAAATGGACTTTTATGTTTATGGTTATTGAAAGATTCATTTCAAAATCGCCTATTACCTTCATTACGAGTATCACAATCGAATAAGAACAATTCCATACTGGAAAATAATTTTCGTGACATTCCTCCACAGAAATTGAAGCGTTCAATAAAGCAATTACCTATATTTGTTCTATTTCGTTTAATTAAAGATGAATTACAAAATCAAACCGTCTATATAAAACTTTTGCAATCGATGTATTTTTTTCAACCAGAATTAGCTTATATATTTCTTTATTATTTATCCACTGACATCGATGATTCGAAAACAGCTACGGAAATTTTCGAAAAATTTGCACACAATATCATTAAATTAAGTAGCAGTCATAGAAAGTAAGTCTCGCTTTTTTTCAATAAGAATAATAATCCTATACTGAAAATTTATAAATTTCTATTTCTTAGACCTCCTATTCCACCAGCTAAAATGCCAACATATGATCAAGACTTTATTGATTTTATTCATGAAATTTTAAGTTCCTGTGAACAAGATGATACAGAAACATTTCTATATCTATTTTCATTTGTCTATCGTCTTTATTCGAAAAAATTCTTAAATAATATTAAATTAATTCGTCTTCTATTACATACAATAAATCATTCTGAATTAGAACAATTCATGTGTGATATTCTTAAACATCAATTACAATTATTTAATTCTCACAAACTCTATTCCATTGTTGATCAAACTTTACTATTCCCTCCAAATGAGCAAGAAGATTTTTGGAAATTATTAGGTGCCCATGATTTCGTACAAAATGATTACGAACAATTATTTACCAATATAATTGAACATTTACTCAATCAAACAAAATCAGTTATTGGAGAACAACGTTTAGCTAAATCAATGCATTATACAACCTATCGTAATACAATAGCATTGAATAATGTTTATGATATATTGAAAACAAAAGTGCCAACATACGGAATTGTTTGTTGTTTATTTGCGCATGAATTAACGAGCAATTTTTCGGAAAAACTTTGTCTTCTATGGCATGAACAACATCATGATGCATTTTGGCGTCATCTCGAACGTATTTTACAGAAATGGATACAACGCGAAAATGATCACACAGAAAAGAAAATTGATTATAAAATTGGTACAATTAAAATGGCAAATGAGAATGGTTTAAAATATATTTTACAACATTTAGAAATTTTGCTACAAACTAAAAATACGGTTGCAAATCATAATAAAATGGATCAAGATGAATTAAATGATTGTTTAACGATCGATGAAACTGTTTTAAATATTCCATTATCGAAAGCAACAGTCAAAGCGTTAATTGGTTGTATTCATAAACATGACCAAATTTATTCGGAAAATAAAACTTTTATTGATCGATTTGAAAATGGAAATTCGATTTTGCCACCACCGTTACCAGCAGCAGCAGCAGCTGTAGCTACATCAGTGACTACCACAACAACAGCATCATCATCATCATCATCAGTAAAACGGCGCAAATTAGATACTAAATCCTAGTCATGTTTCTGTCTGTGTGTGGGTTTTTTTGTAAAGCGCCTATTCCTTATGTACTATATCCATCGTTTCTTATGTAACATACAGACAAGAGAAAACAAATAATAATACAATTGATTTATTTGTTTTAAAAAGTTTTTACTATTAGAGAAGTCATCATCGAAATATAATAGCGATAGAGATAATGGTTGACTAACATAAAAGCAGTATCATCTCATTCAGAGAACAACTGTTTCATTCGATCTTGTAAAACTGCGTATATGTTTGGAATAAAGTAATATATTATTGTAGATGACAACAAAAGAATCGGCAACTGTTAGTTCTTCTATAAAAACTCTCAATGATTTGTTTCACTTTTCATCATCATCATCATTTTTAACAAATCATTATAAACGTGCACAACTTGTTCCACGTCATACATCACCAAGACAAAAAATTTTATTATGTCATGATATGAAAGGAGGATATTTAGAAGATAGGTACGTAATTTTTTCGATCTATTTACATGATGTGTTCTGTGAATTTATAATGTAGGATTTAGTATCTATTTAATTGTAGACATACACAAGGTTGTCAAACAAATGAGCCTTGCTATCGTTTTTTTCGTTGGCATCTAATCGATATATTCGTCTATTTTTCTCATGAACTTGTTACTATACCACCCCTAGTTTGGATTGATTGTGCGCATAAAAATGGTGTTCAAATACTTGGTTTGTGTGTTTCTTCTGCAATTTTCAGTATTCGAATATGCAATCATAATTTCAGGGACATTTATTACTGAATTTGATGATGGAAAAGAAATATGCCGTCAATTATTAGCATCGGATGATAATGTTGACCGAGCAGTCGATGCTCTTGCATTACTTATGACATGGTATAATTTTGATGGATATCTATTGAATATTGAGAATCCGATTGAGGTTAGACTTTTCACATAACATATTAAATTTTCTACTGTCAGTGATGAGTAGAATTCTATATAAATTTATTTTTAGCCTGAACATATGCAACGTCTTCATTCGTTTGTTTCGAAACTTAAAGCTGCTTGTGCAAAAATCGATCCGAATAGTTTAATTATTTGGTACGATAGTGTAACGAAAGATGGTGAACTCGAATGGCAAAATCGGCTCAATGAATTCAATGAGTAAGAATATTTTTAGTCTACAATAGATTCTATTTTAGTTTATGTCTAGATTATTTTTCAATGTCTGCGATGGAATATTTTTAAATTATACGTGGGTACCTGAGATGCTTTTAGAATCGAAAATTAATGCTGGACAACGTTGCCGAGATGTTTTTGTTGGTATTGATGTTTTTGGTCGAGGATGTTTCGGTGGTGGTGGGTTTAATACATGTGAAGTACATTTATTGTGTTTCTAATTTTTTTATAGTAAATATTTTCTTCTTTCAGGCAATGAGTATAAGTTATAAAAGTGATTTAAGTACGGCTATATTTGCACCTGCTTGGATATTTGAAACACTCGATGCAAATGAGTTTCTTGAAAACGATAGAAAGTATGCCATTCTGATTCAAGATCTATAAAAGCTATTGTTAAAAGAATAATATAGATTTTGGAATTCATTAGAACCATTTACAAGCCAAAGAGTTCTTCATATGAAATCATTAACAACATTTTTCTCTGATGGTTTTGGTAAACAATTCTTTGTTCATGGTTTGGTAAACGTTGAAACTTGTTTGATTAAAGGAGGGTGGTCGTTTTGTGGAGAAATCGGCCCTCTCGAAAAATATGATTCCACCTGTCTAAAACTCTTATAAACAACGTTTCTAGTACATGTATTCCTTAAACCCTTGTATTTACAGTGACTAAGCCGGTAGAATCAGCCCACGAATATTGCATGCACATTGAGTCTAACCGTTAATGGTAATCAGGCTTTTCATCAAACAAAAGATTTACTGATCGAGGTGGTATTAGCACGATTCGATAGCAACTTTCCAGCGCTACAAAGTGATATAAAAATATTTAAAGAAAAGCACTGGCTCGCCAAAAATTTCTCAACAGATATCAACGTACGTACACGCTTTAATGCTTTTTTCCATTGGTAGTTTTCAGATTTCATTCGAAAAATCTACTAACTGAGCGCAACTAATACGATATTCAAAGTCAGCGTTCAAACCCGAGTAGCTACGTAAGCTCTTCAGAGAATTTCATTGACTATTCTTTTCTCCAACATGTTCCCCCTGGTCCCCCCTCTATGATAAATGAACAATTCTTTAAAGTTATAGAATATAATTTTGAGGATATAAAATGATATGAAGACATAAAATAGTAGAGAATTAGGTGATGGAAGTTGTGCTTTCAGGGATTCGAATTTTTCACTTATCTTTGAGGGGGACCAGGAGGAAAATATCGGAAAAAAATAAAAGTCAATGAAATTTTCTGAAGAGCTTACGTATCTACTCGGGTTTGAATGCTGATTTTGAATATCGTATTAGTTATGCTAATATCAGCTCGATGAGTAAACCCTTTGTTTGATGAAAAGCCTGCTTATCATTAACGGTTAGACTCAATGTACATGCAATATTCGTGGGATGATTCTACCGGCTTAGTCACTGTAAATACAAGGGTTTAAGGAATACATGTACTAGAAAAGTTGTTCATAAGAATTTTAGACAGGTGGAATCATATTTTTCGAAGGGACCGATTTCTCCACAAAACGACCACCCTCCTTTTTACAATAAATAAATTTAGAATCTGGCAAAAAATCTATGGTATAATCTCAGTTTACAATCTTATTTACCAAATGTTTTGAGTGAAAACCAATGGTTAATAAATCATGATGATGCGTATTTCGGTGGATCGTGCATTGAATTCAAAGCAGACCATAAAGGCTATTTCAAGTAAATTTTAAATTGCCTTGTTTTTTATTATTAATGAGTGAACTGTAATGCATTATTGTTCGTACTAATTGTTAGGAAAGGTTTGATGTGCTAAGGTATCAAAATCATTTTTAATCATTCACTGCATTGACCTTAACTATGACTTCAGGGGTCTCCATCGAAAGATTCTTTTTATTTAGATTATTCAAATGCTTTATACCAATTGAATTAACTTGTGATGTAACTGTAGTTTTTAAGTCTATTACTGATATTGTACTTGAACTCACATTTGATGATGAACGACAAGTACGATTGGAGAAAAGTGATGCAGATTCAAGTATTCGTAATTGGAAACGAAAGTATGTTTGTGTATTCGCTTAATTCTGATTCAGATTGTTTTACTAGGACCTATCGAATTACTGTAAATGAACGAGTATGTATAACTGATGTATCAGTTCATTGCGTTGAAAATACAGACTCAACAACTATCAAACTTGGTTATTTATCGGTTAAATAACAAATCAGAAAATGAATTTTAAAACAAACAAAAAAACTTTTGTTTTAGATTCGTCCTGTTGAGCCTCAATGTTTAAAAATAATTGAATCATTGCCACCTTTAATTCAATCCATTGAACAAACTTCTAATTCATCAATCATACTACATTTTCTTGATTCTATTCAAGAACAACCAACCTCAATTATATTAGTTGTTGTACGTGATCAATTTGAACAATATTCATTTCTTGGTGCTACACGTCAATCGTATTTTGTTATTTTTCAATCGGAAATAATCAATACTCAACAAGAATATTCGATGTTAGCTATTCGACATTATTCACTTGATAGTTTAGACTTGATAAATGAACAAATTCTTAAAATACCGAGAGCATTCAATTGTTTACAAGGCTTTTGCTCGAAAAGTTTTTAATAATCAATAAGAATTTCGAAAAAAACATCTTTTTTCTTCTTCAGATTAAAATGGATATGAATATATCGAATTTAGAAATTTGCTGTTTAGCTTATGATAAAAAGTTCGAGGAACTGAAAGCCAAAATAGATGCTGATCCTGATTGTGTAAAAAAGAAAGATCGTGTAAGTAAAATTTAGTTGATTTATAGAAGTTTCACAAGTTGTTGGACTGTTTTAGGATAGTCGTACCGTTCTTCATTGGGCTTCTTCAGGTGGTTCAAAGGATATTGTTCAATATTTGCTTGACGTTTGTCATGTTCGACCGGACATACCTGATGAAGTAAGAGAACTAAAAGAATCATTCTCTTTATAATCGAGTCAATTTTCACATGAGTATATAAAGCGCTTAAGATGTACACCCCCGTTTATATGATCGACCATCGATATGTTCACATCGGATCGACTGTCTAGTAGTAAACAACTGAAAGCATGAGAATATTAAGCGATTGATTCAGATAATTCTAGCTCCGCTTAACATTTCTTCCACGATGAAGATATATTTTAATGTTATTTTTTTAGCTTGGTTGGACACCTCTGATAATAGCCGTATCAACAGGTCATCTCGAAATTGTTCGAATGCTTTTAGAAACAAAAAAAGTCGATGTTGAACAATCAAATTCATGTGGAGCTCGGCCATTGCATTATGCATGTTCGAAAAACTTTTATGAAGTAAATGATACAAAGGCGAACTTCATTCGTAAAAATCTTATGTTTACTTTTAGATTGCTCAATTATTACTAGAACACGGTGCTGATGTAAATGCAACAGACAAATATAAACAAACACCGTTAGACCGTTGTTGTTCAAAAGGAAATACACGTATTGTCGAACTTTTATTAAAGCATCCAACAATAGATTTAAGTATGCATAAAGAATGCGATGGAGATCATGCATTACCATTGTATCAACGAAAATAAATATTATCACCCGTGCTATTTTTTATTAAAAAGAAATAAGAACAAAAAATTTTGTTTAGAGATATAAATTATAAAAATCAAAACAATTCTATTTAATGATAATTAGCAATATTATTAAAAGCAAAAAAGAATCATTAAGCACGATTTTCTAATTTAACGATGAACGATCGTATTTGCATAGGAGACAATTGAATTGTTTTTCCATCAAAAATGGATACTTCTGGATGTTGGTTTTTGCCTTCTAAAAGAAAACACATCTTTGAATAAGTTTTCTTATTTTTAAATAAATAAATTATTAACCGTTTGTTTCATCTAACGTCCATTTCAATCGTTTAAATGCTTCATTCTTGTACATATTTGCACCTAATGTTACTTCTTTAATTTCTAGCATTTTATGGTTGTTGAAAATTTTCTAGAAATATATCAAATTTTTAAGGATGAATTTTTTTTCGTAAATTTGTATACATCAGCTCGAATTGAAATAGGTTTCGACAATGTAGGATGCTCATTAGGTTCATAGATATGTTCAATACGAAAAAGTATCGATAATCTGTCTTTATTTTGATTGAGCGGTTCTATTGTTAGAATGTTTACTTGTGGAGGTAAATCAGTTTTTAGTAATGACCACTAGTAAATATAAGTATGTATTTAATAATTAAGATAGATAATCAACAAATTTACTGTTTTATAATTCAATGGTGGATTATTATATTCATTTTGAAAAGCAATTATTGGTTTCCAAACAGATTTCAATGCATGCTCACGGAAGAATTTAATGCCTTCATCAATTTTAGTTACCGATAGTAGATGACGACCTATTGATACATAGAATGTGTGATTAATAAATACTAACGTAAGGTATTATTATCTTTTATTTGATTTACCTCGAATAACTATGCCTTGACCATCACGATCTACTTCATTGAGAGTCTAAAATAGAATCGATCAACTTTAAAAATAAGTAATGCATATTTATTTAGATTTGACATACTTCAGATACGCCAAGACCATCATCAGTCATCGTACGCCGATGGAGCTATAGAATGAGAATCAAATTATTACAAAACAAAATCTAATTGAAAATGTGTCTATCAGCTTGCTTCGTCATAATACGATAGATACATTCCAATAGTTTACTCACCATGATTTCAACTTGTCCATCTTTGATACTACCACCACCTTGCGCTCGATCAGTAATCACACTCAATTGTAAATCTTGTTTTTCATCCTAAATATTATTGAAACTCTTTTGTTACGTTTCATTGTCGTTGTACTGCCTTCTTACTTTGATTATGATACCAGTTACTAACGGATAATAGTTACCAGCACTCGTTTCACTTTGTGAAAAGCGATATCCATCACGTTGATCACGTCTAGACAAAACAAAAAGCACAATTGTTTGATGAGAAATTTCTTTTGATTCAATCGTTTTACATTCGTTTCATCAATGATCTTCCACTCGAATCTGTATAGAAGGTTCCAGCATTATTCAGATCTCTACTTTCGTAAGAAGTAACAAATTCAACGCTATTTAAACAATAAATTTATGTTGTTATTTATCGATAAATAATTTGAAATACTTTGCATCTAATCGTCCAACAACCCAATCGAATTCTATATATGATGAACTATCAAGTAAACGAATTACTTGACTTCCAAAAGACGAATAAACTTGAGTTATTTCTTCATAACCTTTACGCTTTAAAATTAGAAAAGAAAATTCTTTTATCATGTTAATAATTAAATAAGATTTATTTTATTCGTACTTTTAAACAATAAAATTCGTTTATATTAACTTGTTTCGGAGGATTAGTACCAACAGGCCGGAAAACATACAATCCACTTTGTTGATGTGATTTTCCATCACTACCAGAACCTATGAATAATAACGATGATCTTGAAAATAATATTTAAGAAAAGAAAACTTACTTGTATAGTAAGAAAAATTTTGTTGAAAGTTGATTTCTTTATCAAGCGATTTAAGTTTTAATGATACGATCGAACCTTGTTCATTTACTGTTAAAATATAATGCTATTGAAAAGCAAGATCAAAAATGTCTTTCAAATAGTAAAATTTATCAACAAGACTTTTTACTTGATTTTCTATTGAACAACTTGAGTTTGTACTTACTAATGGTTCAACACTTTGCTGTTGTTCTAAAATTATTAAATGAATATATTTTATTGAGTACTACCCTAGAGCATGTACTGAGTTCAGAATACTCATATACTGAGCAAGCCTTAACAGGGTATCCGATATGGGTACTTTGAAAATTCTCAGTAATTATACAGATGCAGTACTTGTACAGGTACCCACACCTGTAATTTTACTGAGAAAAGCTCTACAGGGTATCCTAAATTTGTCGCGTTCTGTGTAGCCACTGTTCACTCATCGTTTTCTTTTGCACACACGACTCCGTACACACAACTCGATAAATCAAAAGAAACTTATCTAGTTTCATGCTATTTTTTTCTAGATTATTTCTTGACTATTTATTAGTCGAGAACGTGCTGATCTTAATCGTAAATTAAGAACGGACTACCATGAAGTGGTCTGATGGAGATTCAACCAACTCAAGCCCGGCCAAATCCAGAAATTTGATCTGCTGGAGTTTTTCAGAATTGGAAAAATTAAATTAAATTAGACCGAAAAAATGTAATAAATTCCTTTGAGAGAAAAAAAAATGCAAACAGATCAAAGATTAGGTTCAATCATCAGCGTGCTGCAATTTTGATAGCAGGCCACCTCAACATACTGTGCAATATTACTCAGCTGAGTAATGGATCAGTATCTTCAAGCACCCATTTACTAGAAGCTTTCCAGCAGGGTACCCACCCGAGTACCTAATACGTGTCTAAAAGTATTTTAAGGTACTTCAGTATCCGAAGGTTCCTGTCGCATACTAGTATCAGGGTACTTTTTCAGGTACTCTTAGCTCATTACATGCACTATAGGGAATATATCTAATCGGTATTTTCAAAGAAAGTATATTTTTGCTACACAAGAAGAATTTTAGGGACAGCAGAATGCATTTTTACTGAGTGAATTGTCTTTAAACTCTATTAATAAACCTGATTATCTTTCAGTATGTCGATAGAATGCATCTTCATTCAACATCAAGATTTTTTTTTCAAGAGATTATCTTGACTTTACTATAAAGGAAAAATGTTTACTATTATTGGCATCGAATTTTCTCTACACAAAAGAATATCACCTACTTGATGAAATAAAAGGAATAGCTTGCAAACTTAATGGTGGTACATGAACACGAATAATTAATTCTTGGACTTGATTGCGCGGAAAACCAAGTGGAATTCTTAAAAAACTTGGTGATAAATTGATAGTCTATAAATACATAGATAGCAATCTATCTGAGAAATACGTAAATAAATTTTTTACGCCGATTTCTGTAACATCAATTGAAAATTTCTTGGCAATAGCAGCATCGAGATGAATTGTCTGTTGTTTCGTAACAGGAATACGTATCCAAACTTGATTCGATACTGATGAAGGATTGTAGACAATGGCAGAAAACTGATAATAATAAAATGAAAAATGGTACTTATTTTACGATAATTATTCTTTCTCAACAGCTTCATCATTCATTTCCTCTTTAATCCCAGGTCAATAATTCCGGAGAACGGATACTACGGGAACTGGCAGAAAAATGCGGGAAAACCCACCGTATCCTGCAGGAAAACACTGGAAATCGCTGGGAATTCACAGGAAAAATTCCGAAAAATTCCGACCGAAATACTGCTACCTCGTTTCAGTGATTGTCAGCATTTTCCTGTCGTTTCCCGCTGTACGAGTTCGATCTGGGATATTCGAATTTCTAACATCAATAACTTACTGTATGCATGGTAGCGAGTGGTGTACAATAACTTTCATTAAGTGGACAAAAAATTAATGGTGTAGACCAATTTAATGATATTGTTGGGGTTAAAATATTCTGATAGAGTGTCAAAGCTAATGCCTATATTCAAAATACAAAAACAACACTGAACTGAAATATGTTCTCTTTTGCTACAATTAATACTTGTCCACTTGTCTCTGCTCGATGCATTCGTCGAAGAGCATCTTCAATATGAACCAGTGGACTTGTGCCACTTAATAAACGTAGAAAAAAAAGAAATAATCGGTAGACTTTGTCGAAATTTTATTATACGTGATGGTATCATGATGTTGCATTAAACCCATTGTTTCTCCTAATTTGGATAAAACATCAAAGCCAATCGAATTCGAATAAATACTTAGTTGTCGAAGAGACTATTAAGGTGATACAGTACATTATAGATTTGAAGTCTTTTTGAATGAATTCCTAAAATGTGTACCTGATAAAAAGCTCCAACGGAACGTTCATAAAATTTTATGCCTGGCCTTGACGTATAGAATCCAGTCCAAAATGCATGTGCACGATGAGCATATGATAGAAAATCGCCTTTGCGTACTGGCCATGAACGTTTTTCTTGTGATAAAGCATGTATAAAACATGAGGGTGTTGAATAATGTACATGGAATTGCTTTTGACCATTTGTTTTATTTTGCTAAATAACAGAAAAATAATAAAACAATAAAAGTTTCTGCATCGATTCAAGCTTACTACACGATTAATAGTATCGATCATAGCATCAATATTTTGGAAGTACTGTGTAGCATCTTCGTATTCAAAATCACCACCGTATATAACAGCTATATTAGTACTATTATATTTGCTTTGCTATAAAACAAAAAGCTTTTGATTAGAAAATATAGCGATATACTAGCAAACCTGAGATCTGAGCTCGTCAAGTAAACGTTTACTATATACAGAAGCCGATTCTGGTAATGTATCAGCATCAGTCGGTCTCTGAAAGTATAGAGAGAAATATAGTTTTAGATTATTTACATTTATTTTTCACAAAATTATTAAAAACTCACCAATAAAGCACCAATAGTATCTGATTTTAAAGCTAATGTTTCTGGCGGATGATAAAGATTTGGAAGAATGCCAGTAAACAACCACTGCTCATTTTGCGCTTAAAATAACGTTTTTCTTTAATATGTATTTTTATTTTTTTTTGAATATTTACGAGCATTTTCATTTACTTTCCAAATCATTTGTAAAGTTTTTTCAATTGTTCGTTGTTCTTTTTCTTGATAATCCAAACGCCCAAATAAAATAGCATCATAACCCATCTGATTTTATTTTTGAAAAAGAAAAAATATAAACATTGTATTTTTCACTTCTAACACATTTTTTTTCTATATGAATTAATGAATTAGTTTACCTACTTGAGCAAATAGAGAATTGATTTCTCGTCCGTGACCAAACAAATCAAGTTGCCAAGCGACTGCAGGCTGTGAACAAATTCGTAGTTCATCTTTAACAAAACGAAATCCTAATGTACATTGGTCGATCATTGCTGCATAATGACTGACAGCTTCATCATTTGAAACCCAATTACCACCGGCTATATCAAGACGTCCTAAAAGTAGAAAAACAAAGCTTACGATAGTTAAAAACTCTTGAGAAATTCAATTTGTTTTCATTACCATCATTCAACAATTTTCGTATAATTTTTTTGAAATCTTCATCTAAACGTTTCCACCAACGCCATATAAAAGACATTTCAGCAAATACAAATCGACGTTTAGAGTTTTCAAGTAAAGCACTCATGACATTATTAAATATTGATAAAACACTTGGCATCGAATGTCTATATGCTTGACCATTATAATTATGTTGAGCTGCATGGTGAATACCATAAAAATATCCGTCCACTGAATTAAGCCAACCAGGATCTAAATGTGTATGACAAATAATATGTACATTAATAACATCATCACGAAGTTTTGGACAATTCTAAATTTACAAAAAAAAAACAGATTTGATTTTATCTTTGAATTTTTTGATTTTCTTCTTATTTATACTTTATATGCACAATTTGTTGATGTTGATGAAATGATTTCATTTTCATTTGCCTCTTCAACTGGTTCTCTATTCTTAGTTGGAATGATCTCTTTTTGGCTCTTTTCTTGTATATATTCTTTAATATTTTCTTTAACAGCTTCGTTTCCCTTTCCCGACATACCGAGAAACAATCCAAGCAAAGATACGACAACAATTATAATAATTATTTGTATTAGATATTTAGTATGACGTGTTGGCCGTATCTGTATCAATTAATATATCCATATGCAATTTCTCATAAATAGAATATAATTAAAAACTTACGAAGAAACGACGAAACACATTCATTTTCAATATCAATTGATTTTGAAAACTAAGTTTGTTTAAGATCATATAGAGGCACGATATCAATTATTATTTGTATAAAACTAAATATGTAAAATGCCATAATGAATTACCTGAACGATAGGTTAATTGTATTCACTCGATGCGTTTTTAATATGCTTGTAATTATTCAATTAATAATAATATTTGTTGTTTCTTATTTTTGTTGTTGTATTTTATTAAAAAGTTCACCAAAGATTTTTCAAAATATTATACATAGATCATTTTTCAAAGCGTTTAGTTAAGTGACGTCTAAAAATAAAAAATATTTTTATCACACATTTTTAATAATAAGAAATTTTGTTTTTCCGACAAGTAAAAAAAGATATAGCAATAACAAGAAGAAAGTATTATGGTTACATTCCTAGACTCACTTCGTCCTTCACAATATATGTGAATTCAAGTCACATTCACTGATGCTTTATTCTCACTTGTATAATATTCTCTGGTTGCGTTCTCTTTTTTTATTAAGAATCAAAAGAACATCGAGAAGGTAGTCTCTAATAATTAGTAAACTTTATTTTTTGCTTTGAGTTGGACATCGTAATATCACCGGTAAGAGATGCTCGTCACGAACACCATAACAAAGCTGGAATATAATATTCTTTTTCAATTTGGTCAATAAAAGAACAGAAAAACGAAAGTATAATGTTACATTTTTAACAAAGTCGAAATTTGAGATGCTTGTCACTCCTCTTTACTTAATTTCTTTCCTTATCACATACAAGTTTACTTGCGACAAGCATTACGGCTGTAGAACAGAACCTTTATAATAGTATATGATCAATTATACAGGAAAAATGACATCAAAATTTGTTAGCTTTCGATTATTGTTACTATTCTCTCTGATCACTATCAAAAATGTCATAGCTTCTTCAAATGCTTTGATCATTTTCGAGTATGCAAAATAAAAAACAAAACTAATCCTTTATCCACAAAGAATCTAGTAAAACGAAAATCAAAAAAAAAGTGATAATAACTGAAGTTATATATGAAGGATGAAAGAGGTCTATTTGTTGTTTTTTATCGTCAGAACAGATGAAAAAGAAAACTTACTCGGTACAAAGTAAGATAAATTGTAATATATCTATATCAACTACATTCATGTAGCATATCTATCGTGTATTTCTGATAGGACGATCGCTAGCAACTAATAAAAATACGTATAGAACTATATACGAGACAAGAACAGTAAGAATATCGGCTAGATTATGAGCAGCATCTTGTATTTTTCGCATATGATCTTATCGCGTACTTCGTACCCTTGAACAAGAGAAAGGCAATATCATTATTCTGTTCTTATACTCTACGTCATCGATACTGTTGAATGTATCGAATATTATTCTTTATTACACAACTAATATCCATGAACTAAAACAATGGCTATTCTACTTATAGAAAAACAAATTTGATTGCATGAGAACTATTATATTGAATATTGTTTTAGTGTAAAAAGTTGGACGATATGTCACTTGTTCTACTGTTTTTCATCCGATAATCAAACGATACGCATTCTACTCGACTCATCTTAGTTTTATTGATTTTTATCTTCAAAAAACAGACGTTTTTATTTCTCATGTATACATACATACATACATACATACATACGTAAATATTTTTCATATTACTAATCAAAATTTTTCGGAATAAATTCATGATACCTCTAGTCAATAAAACAAAAGTAATCAACGATGTAATCACGTGAATATAAGTACATTTAAAAAAAAACTACTTCGTATAACATATGTTGTAAATAATCGAAAAAAGCCTAACAAAAACTCGTCTATGTAAAGAATACTTTAGATTTGTCTTGGAAATATAAGAAGAAAACCATGAAAACAGCTTTATATATCTATTCGAGGTCATGCGTAGTATTTCAATTTTCGATTTGAATTAAGAATAAGTTTACTTTTTTCATATGAAGATTCTTTTGAGGAGTTGTCAACATTTTCTTTTAAAAAAAATGCACAAGAGCTCCTATAAATTCATTAACTTACTAGATGCTGCCGTTTACGACTTGCATTTTATAAAATCATGGCACAAAAATAAGCGAACAACAAGTGTCACTAAAGCGATCCAGAACGATAAAAAGTTCAAATGAACAAATTTTCAATTGGTTAAAATATTGAAAGACTAAAAAACCTTTTTCTATTTATGTTAGGCGCCCTGTTTACAACTATTTGTTTTAGGGGAAATCATAACAATTCAAACTGTAAAAATATATTGCCATCCTATTCATAATATTTACCATAGATAACACGTCTTTTAAACTAGACTAATAATTAGGAAATATGGTTGTTTGAATGAGATTTCCTATTCAACTACTTTTGCAAGTTATCAAAAATACAGGTCCAAAGAACAGTGGTTCACTTGCCATACTCCCACATCAATTAATTTAATGATGTTCAAGAACGAGTGAAAAAAGTCTATTCATATCTTAGATAAACACCGGGAAATAATCATATTAACTTAGCAGGGTTTAGATGTGTTATATTGCTTTATAACAAAAAAAAATAATTCGGTGGTGCATGTTGTTGTCATAGCTTTTTTTTCTTTCTATCATCGGTAGAATTACTTTTGAGTGATTCATTTATTATGTTGATTTTGCCCTATCGTTCCTACGTATAAAAAAGAAACACTATTCTCATTTGAATGATCGAAAATTTCTACGGCTTAGTTGATTGTCGCGAAGTTCTTTTAAAAAATGAAAGAAAAATAGCATGTGACAGCTTTTGTTTTCAAAGAAAGAAAGAAAATTGTTTGCACTGGAGACACATTAAGTAATTCAATCATATGTGAGAAAAATAAGCATTAAAATGCATTCCTTACAGGTTTCAGAGGAAAAAAACAGAATAAAATTTCCTAACTGTAGCATCAAGACATTCGAGGATTGTTCAAAATTCATGAGCATACCCAAATGTGACATTTCTATACAGTACATTACATCGCTGTCGATACAAAAACAAAATTTGTAAATAGGATTAAAATACTGGCGCACTGTAGGACAATAAGATTTTTCTTCATGTGACCGACATATGGTTACGATCTAGAATTTAATAAAACCTTAACGTCACGATATAATATACATATTCAGCATACAGCTACGTTGGCTTCAAATAATTTCAATAATAGACACTCTAGAGTGAATTCGTGGTAATGTTGGTGTCTAGTGACATTTTTAGCATAGAAATATCGGTTAATAAAATCTTCCTATTCTTCGTCGTGAACTATATTTTCTGATCTTGATATTTTCAATCGTATGTATGAATATTGCATAACTTTTTCTTTCATCGGGCATCTCAGAATCACTATACTAGTTGCATTACATTCATTATGGACTAAGTGAAGTTGTAAAGAAGCAAAACAAAAATCGTTCTTACTTTTGCATGGCACATACTGTTTGTTACAATAATTTTAAATTTCAAAGTTGAAATACGAAAAGAAAAAAGCAGTTAGATGGCATTTTTACCACTATGTAGCCAATAAAAATAGATTTAATGTTAGTTGGCCGTAACGACTCAACGGGTTATGTAAATTGATAAGATCGAGAATTGCTTCGCTGGCTAATTTTTGAGAACTTTCTTTATAAATAGCAAAATAGATAAGTATCTTTTCAAATACATATGGAAACGAGAACTTAATAACCACTTTTACCATCTCGACAATTTTTTTCTCATTCCTCCCATAAAAACGCATCGTGTAGTTGCAAAGTGTTACATTGGAAGAGTTTTTAAAAGTCTATCGGGCGCCATGGAGAAAATAGAATAAACTAGAAATTCATAAAAAATAAATAAAATTCTTCATTTCTATCTCCTAATTGAGAAATTCAAGCTCTCAAATATAATTTCTACGTATGAATCAAAATAATGGGTGGACCATGAACAATCGGGGTCTTAGTATTTTTCTAATATCTTCATTAATGCTTAGCTCTTTTCATTTACTTGTCTCCAAAAGATTCTGCATTCAATTCTCTGCAAACTAGATCGTATTCGAGTTTCACTCGACTACGAAATGTGGTGCGAAGCACACGAGCCGAATTTTCGAAAGTAGCGAGAATAAGATTTAAAAATAAATGATTCACTTTAAGATTCATTACAAACGTTTATATTTTTTTAATTTCCGTATACGAATTTTGAATAAAAGTTTCGCATTCACTATTCTCAAATCGACCATTTTTAAATTCATCACTAGGAAATCTCTCTGAAAATGTAACAACCAGTTGTCTAACAATTTTTTTCATTGAACGATTAATTATTTTAATGGTTCACTATTTAAGATCAAATGCGAAGAAATAGACTATTGGCTACTATTACTTGATGACGTCATTTTAATTAGCGCGAAACTATAAAACAATAAAACGTTTCAAAATCATCATTGTCGAATGATATTTTTAGGCGAACGAAGCCTAGTATTGAAAATTGGAAAAAAGATGTAACAAGTTCGATCTCCATA